TATGTCATAATATAGATTTTGTAGTGTTTTAATGATTGAAGTAGAAACCCAAGAAATATGACTAACATGTATGTTAAGATGTCAATTTAAATGTATTCAGGTCCTATATATGCCAATCAAGAAGATAGCACCAAGTTCTGTGTAAAGAAACAAATAGAAGCGAACAGCGCCTAGACCAAGGCATTCTGGTAGTAGCACCCTGGTGACCCGGGTTCGATCCCCCATGGACACGTCCTCCTGACGGAGGTAAAAAATCCCCTCATTTGTCCCGCGTTCCAAAGCAAAGGTCTATGGATCGGGCCACTCACAAGGCAATTGTCCCGTGCTTAGAGATTTTCTCGGCTGCGTGAGAGGTCTTCTAATTGTGGATCGGGCCACTCACAAGGCAATTGTCCCGTGTTCAGAGATTTTCTTGGCATGCGTGAGAGGTCTTCTAATTGATCCCCCCCCGACCGAGTTTTAAGAAACAAATAGGGGGTCCCACCGGGTATAGAAAGTTGGGTGAGTTATGTTTACAATTTTACTCTTAGGCTATTTTCAGTGGAGAGTTTCATAGCGTTGTTTTTAAGACTGCCACATCATCGTTTAAAAAAAAAAGACTGCCATATCATGTAAAAAAATAAAAAATAAAACAATCCTCAGTGCATAGTTTCATTCTGTTGTACTAAATTATCCGTTGGCCTTTCCATCGTTATAAAGAGAGGCCCAGACTCCCTTGATGAGGATCTGATTTGAATGTCTCCATAGGCTGAACCTTGGTAACTCCTTGTGTTCTCCCCGTAGATCTAGGTAAATATAGCAAAACTCCCTGAATCATGAACCCCTGACACCCATTCATATTTCTGCCAATCTACCCAACCAAATAAGAGGGTCTGGTCTTCTGAAACCGGAGTATCCGGTTTTTCGCATATTGTTGCAAGGTGCACGTCTCTACAGGTTTGTTATGGACCTTAATGTCCAGACAAGTATACTCAATAATAGCACTATGCTTTACTCAATTCAAGATACAATGAGGGAGGAATCGGGGAAAATTAGATAGGAACAACAAGAGCTAGAGGTAGGCAGGGATAGAGTCGTGGGATAGAGGAGGAAGATGAATTGGGAGTTCTCTGTTCTCTTCTGTTGGATGCCCTGCATCTGGCACCCCCTGATCCTTTAGCTGCAACATTTCTGTAACTTTAGCTCATTTGGCAGCCCAATCCACGATAGGCCCATTTGGAAGCCCAGTCCATGACAGGGTTGCTCATGGCGGTCTTGTTAGTCTGCCACTAACAAATGTGTCGCCTGAGAAATACATATCCAGTTTGCCAACCATTGCGAAGGTATGTTTTTTAAAGGAAAAACTAAACCAAACATTAGCTTCTTGATTCTGAAAATTGATACAGAGTAACAATACGGAAGAAGTTTATTTTTTCCATCTAACTATACATCACCGAGTCTGATTTTTTCCATTAAACTTCAAAACTGAATATTTTTAGCTTTTATCCATCGACATGTTTCAAACTTTGTTTTACCTATATACGTATTATTATAAAATTCCGTTATCTACAAAAATGTATTATTATAAAATCATAAAAACATGGTTAAATCTATAACAATTTGTAACTAATTTATTTCGAATAGAAAATAGAAAACTAGTGCTATTTTTAAAGAAGTATAATGTATCTATTCATGCTCTATTTAGAGTAATTTGGATCTTACTTGTTTCTGTCACTAATGTTGTATTGCTTGTGGTCGTGATTGTTATTCATTTAAATTGTCATTTTGCACTATATCAAACACAGGAGCTCAACCCAAAGAACCTAATGGATTCCGAGTTATGGAATATCTCAAAGGTGATGCCAACTTCAAGCCATGCTCTAACACATACATATCCTATTTACACATTGTCACATTGCATGGCTTATGCTTAACTTAATTTTGATTGCTTGATTAGGCAGTAGGTTTGGAATAAGACAAGGGCTCAAACATCATGCAATCAACATAAAGTAAAGCACAAAATGATAGTTCAAATAAATAATGACCTTGACTATAAGCAACAAAACACTAGAATCAGAAAAACTAAAACGAAAAAAACAGAGCATCGATAGATAGATTGCATTTTTAGAAAAAATATTTATCCATACATTCATTGATTAAGGATCAAATTAGATGCTATACTGAAATATATTACAAGCTAGCAAAAGCAACTGAACGGCAGCAAACTAGAAGGATCTCTTAAAGTGAACTTCATTAATTTGGATGAGCCTGCATTAGTGCTCCATCTGTTAACTTCTGATTATATCCTCGTAGACCTCCCGGACCTTTGCAAAGAAAGCATCCCTGAAGTACATTGCAGTTGTTTGAGCACCTAACGCCTTTAACCAAAGGAACGGAATCAAAGAAATTTATGGTAGGCAAAACCTAAAATATAAACGTATCAAATATGTAGAGCAACTGATTGATACAGCCAACTTGGAAGTTGTTACTGAAGCTGAACTCTTTGTTACAGGGGCATGCAGCATGCTGGATAAAATTATTTGGATCATTTTATCCGATGGCTGACATGATTATTCTGGAGCTAGAAATGTTCAGGACTGGCTATACATATTGCTTACTGGCAAATGATAGTTAATTAGCATGCATTTTCTGTCTGGCAAATGATAGTTAATTAGCATGCATTTTCTGTCTTTGCATATGCAAAATTTTGCACACTGAATAAAATAGTCGTACTGTTTCATTACCTGTCAGACTTGAATAGCAAGTTTCGGTACGCGAACCACTGCATCATCAGAAAAAGCATATATATGAAAAGGTGAAAATTCAGTAGATAAACGGTAGAAATTCAGGCATGACAACCGAAAGATTCTGAACATTGTAGGCCAGCTCAATGCGAAATCCATCCCACATTTGTCAAATTATGCATCAAGAGCTATTGTTGTAATCTGAAGTTTTACTCAGGTCATGGTGTGGATCTTCTTACCCCACTGTATCCAATTCCAACAGCCTCCATCAGACCTGGAATCACGGGGAGCCTATCGATTGCCTGCGGCCGAGGTAACACCAAATATAAACACTGCTCGTTAGTTACTCTGTCTATCCACCCAGACAGGATTCAAGGACTTCCGTCGAAAAGGGGATGAAAACCCAACCCCAGCTTTGCGGTCCGGATTAGCGAAGCTGGTTGATCGGCCATCGATTAGCGGGGAACTTTTCCTCGTGTTTGGCCGGTACGCGTGTGGTGTGGCCGTCCGCCGTCTCCGCCGACCTGCGTCGCGGTGCCGGATACGAGGTACGGGCAATCGCGCGGCTGCCGCGTGAAAGGTCCTTCACCTTTTACCCCGCGTCTTTTGTCCGCCTGGCCCTGGCGCCGGCCGGCTTTGTGCTGCGGACGGCAACGGATGAACTGAAACGCGTAGGCTGCCGATTTGGGAGGGGGAAGCGAGAATCTGGGCTTTTGTTGGGCCGTTTTTCTAAGCCACATCCTAGTTCTGAAAAGAAATGCTCCGACCCTTCTTGGGGCCTCGAGAGAAAGTTGCACATAGTAGTAGATCCCCCGAACTAGCTAAGAGCAACTTGAGCGGACCTCTCATCTGGACTTCGGGGCCTCTACTTTCTTTTGAGAATCCAAACAGCAAAAGTCTATTCAACTAGGTGTGTGGGCTGTGCGCCAGCATAGGTAAAGATGGGCTTGGGAGCTGTTGGAATATATAGCCTTTGAAATAGAGCATCTGTAATAGACTTCTTGTGATCCATCATGTAGACCTTGGCGATTGGCACTATCAGCCTTTTGCTGGCGATGTTCGTCTTCGCTATGGCATAATTGATCGTTGTCATTGTTCCAAATGCCCACTGCTACTGGTGATGGCAAAAGTATGAAGGCGAATAGGGAGTATCTTTGCTTTTGGTCGAAAAAGTCGCCGACTTGATGCCGATCATCAAAGACTCGCTAAGTTGGTTATCCAAGAATTTACCTTAGTTATCCATAGGAGCGAATCAAATACTTTCCCTTATTGATCAATGTATACAACCTTTACCTTTCCCTTATATTTATTTATTTATATATATATTTGCTATTGATGGCCCAGCACTCTAAATCTAAAGATATGAGTAGATCTGAACTAGCTAAGAGCAACTTGAGCGGACCTCTCATCTGGACTTCGGGGCCTCTACTTTCTTTTGAGAATCGAATAGCAAAAGTCTATTCGACTACAGATGGGCTGTGCGCCAGCATTGGTAAAGATGGTCTTGGGGTCATTTTTGAAAAAAACCCTTCTACTTTTTCGAAAATCAATGTAGACCTTGGCGATTGGCACTATCAGCCCCTCTCATGATATTTTGCAAGAAACTCCTCGTTGTTTTTTTAAATCAACTGCTATTGGTGATGGCCCGTAAGGCGGATGCCCTATCTTTGCTTTTTTTGCAAAAAGTCCCTTACTTTTTCCGATCAAAATCTACCAAGTTGGCTCCACAAACACTCTCACCATTTTTGCAAGTCAAAACCTCATCGGATTGATTTTTCTCAAAACAACATATATATATAATATATATATATTATATATATATTTTTATAAAAAAAACATTTAGCCAGTGCACCCCCAAAAGACTAGTAATATTTAGAGCGCCGGCCAAGAAATGCCGCGACCATAAAACTCACCCCGCGAACGCAAAACATCAGCTCCACTGTGTCCAACCCATCCGACGTTTCCGCAACCATAAATATTTATCTCCCAACCGTAATTGTTTGGCAAGCAGTGATAGCCTAACCGTAATCCAAAAGTCGTGCCTCGTATAAATACCTCACTAACTCTAGTTTTCTCTCGTTTTCCCCGACTCCCGTCTGGGTCAGAGCGGCGGCAGCGGCTCGATCCCACCCGGCGGCGCCCTCTCCCCTCCACCTCGAAAGCCGGCGGCCTTGCTCAGCTTCCTTGCCGGCGGATCTCGTGGATCCATCGAGGAGGCTGCCGATCCGGCGGCCATCCCCAAGGCGACCGCGGCCACGGCGCGGCTTCTCCTCCCCCATGCCGACGGCGACTGAGGCGGCCTTCCCCCATGCCGATGGCGACTGCGGCGTCCCTCCCCCACCCTCGACGGCGACTGCGGCGTCCCTCCCCCACCCCGACGCCGACTGCGGCGTCTCCTGCGCCCCTCCCAGCTACAACGACGGCGCCCTCGCACCTTCCCACCTCAACCGGCGGCGGTATGGATCTCAACCAGGGAAGGGGCGTTGATGGCGGTGCATCTGTGAGGGGCGGCAGATCTGGTTGCGCCTCCTCTCCTCCACCAGCGGCGCCCTCTCCCGATCTTTACTCGACCGGCGGCAACGGCGACCACACCTTCAACGCCGGCCCAGGTTGCACCGTCCCCTCCCTCACCAGAATATGGATCTAGTACGTACTGGATTTCTTAAACACAGTCTTTTCTTTTCTGAAACTCTCATGCTTGTGCAGATTGAAAAAAATTGATATAATCACTGCTGGAATGGGAAATGCATTAGCTACTGATGGTGGCTTTTGTACGGGAAGTGTCAGGGTTGTTGATCATCAGGTAGATGCAATACCAGATTGATGGAACATTGCTTTCTGATGTAGGAACTCTTGCATTTTAGTGTTTTATTATCTGACCAATGATATAATTTTGCAGCGTCTAAGCAGCTCTGGGTATGTTTTCTCTGCATCTCTGCCACCTTATCTTGCCAGTGCTGTTGTTTCTGCTGTCAACTACCTGGAGGAGAATCCCTCAGTTCTTGCAAACCTAAACTGCTCCTGTAATTTTCTTTTCACTATAATTATTTTACACCACACCTACTTTCTAGCGCACATCATGTCTAGTAGTAATGTTTATCGTTTATCATTTGTTAATAGTAATTTTAAATATTATGTATTCACATAACTATCTTACTATTGCAAACCTTTGTATCTGGTGGTACATGGGAATGTTGACATAATTTAAAGTAGAGATTTACTACTAGCTAGTGTCTCGATTATAAGACAATTACTTGTAGAGAAAGGAGCTCTATAAGAAAAATTACTACTATCAGAGAAATCAGCTCAATAGAAGTAATTTCAGACGGTTTCTCTTTCTTTCATACATACATATAAAAAATACTCTCTTGTAGCAGGACAGCCTGTAAGACAGTTACTTTTCTAGAGGTAATTTCCTCCCAACTGATTACCACACACGCACAGCTATGCAGAGTCTCTGCTATTATGGGTAGCTAAGATGAAGTCACATTTCAGTTCCTGGTACTAATTTACTTTTCTAGACTGTATTAATAGTATTTTGTGTCTCGTCTGTCTGTTGGTGCAGCCAGTAGTTCATTTGTTCTGTCGCTATTTATAGTAGTATGCAACCCAATTATTACCATCTTAGCATGCCTTTTAATTCTTAGATAAAGGTAGGTGCCTTTTGATTTTTCTGAAGGCTTTTTATTGTTATGTAGGCTGGTTCTGATCTGATGTAGAAGACGCCGATGAGGATATGCAGCATGTTGCACTTTCATGAACACTATTGCAGAATAAAGTAGTGCAATGGCTCCCTGTTTCAAACAATTAGTAGTAACTTATTCAAACAAGTGTTAGTGCCCAAATTCAAATAATTACTCCTACTACAACTTCTGCTGCTACTACTACTGTTGCTGCTGCTACTCCTAATGCTATTACCACTACAACTACTATTACAATTGTTCCTAAATCTGAATGCAGTCATGTCCTGGATTAGCTGCGCTGTAATTTTGAAAATGCCCATGATTACCCCTCTTGATTAGTTCAACTAATACCTCTTTGCATCATGTAACTTACCAACTAGTAGTAATTTTGTACATAAACTACTATAGAAATGTGAGGTAAATGAATCTGAGTCGTCTCCTGGATTAAAATGCTCAGAATAATTCCTCTCTCTCTCGATTAATTGCTCGAATAATACCTATACTTGTATCCTGTAATTTACCAAGTAGTAATGTAAAACTTCAACTATTGTAGGCCATATAGGTTTCTAGAATTTTGTCTTGTATGCTCAAAAATACCGCAACTGAAGAAAATAAATTTATCTCCTGTTTCTCCCCAATGCATCAACAAGCTTTTAAGAAGATCCGCGTCATTGCAACGTTCTGGATGGTGCCACCATCGCCGATGGCAAGCAATTTGTAGTGTCGCGCCAATGCGCAGCTCTGCTTGTGTCCTATGTAATTCTATTCGTGGTGTATGTGTTCACGGTGTACATGAATCTACTTTATTCAGTGATTTGATTCACTAACCATGTTCGCAAAATCAAATCAAGGATCAGAGGTTCCATTGTTTACTACCAAGAAGTTCCGTTGTGTACTGAATTTTATTTTATAAAATAAATACTCTTAATTTTTTATTATTAGTTCATGAAGAACCATTCCACGTAACTCTTTGCGTATCCATAGAAACAAATCATTGACTTCCTTAATTATAGTCAATTACGGTTAATTCAGGAGTAAAATCTGATGCTTCTTCCACGCGGTAGTAGAGTTACGGTTGGACGAAAGGGAAACTCGAGGGCATGGTCGGCGGGACGAAAAAAAAACTTGAGTTGTTCATGCATGCACGGGTGAGTTGTTCATGCATGCACGGAAATTACGGTTGGACGAAAGGGAAACTGAGGTTCGCCATGCAGCCAGCCAAAAATTACGGTTGGAGTAAGGGAAAGAAATTACGGTAACCATTAAATTATAGGCATTTACGTTTAATTAAGGAGGCAAATCTGGCATGTCTCTGCAACCGTAAATGTCTATTTGTTTATTTCTAGCTATGGGCGGTATGGCGGTTGGCACGAGATCACTTTTATTGTTGTGGATTAAAATATGCCGTGATTTACGGATCGCTGGAGCTGCTCCACGTGCGTTGGACGCGGAACTGTTACGGTTGCGGATCAAAAACTACCGTAACCTTACGGTTGCGGAGGATTAGCTGGAGATGCGACAGGTGTAGCTCCGCGGCGCGCTAAATTTTATTTAGAGCGTAGCGCTCCAAATAGCGTTTATATATATATATATATATATATATATATATATATATATATATATATATATATATATATATATATATATATATATATATATATATATATAGTCTATAAATGCATATTATATAAATTAGGGCAGGGGAGGTTGTAAAATAGCCTTATATATATATTATTTTCGATGGAACAGGAGGGCTACGCCCTTTCTGGAATACCCTTCCTTATTCCTAATAAAAAAACTAATAACATATTCTTGAGTGGCAACCCTCCTTATTCCTAAAAAAAAAAACTAATGGCTTATAAACCAAACGAATAGGCGATAATACTTCTGCTTCTTTTTTCGTCTATTGAAAGCATTTATTAATCATGTATATAGAGTGGAAGAATTGCAATGAGTACTACAGTCTTCAATCTCTTTGATATCATCTTGAACAATGAAACGTGACTAATGCATACCTGTTTGTTTGGGCTGATTTGACTTACATTGTGAAACGTGTTCTTCTAATGTATAAATGGAGAAAGCCAACAAGCTAAATGTCATGGAGAAACACAGCGAAACAGATCAGGGCGTATGCATTTGCACGGACGCCGCAGGCTGCTAGGTTCTGAACAGCTCCAGGCAGTGCTCCTGGTCCAGGTTCCTGCTCCAGAACTTCTTGTAGTACTCGTCGTACGTGTAGTTCCTGTACACGGCCGGGGTGTCCTCCGTGACGAGCTTCTGCGCGGGGCCGAGCACGACGTGGTTGCACGGGCACAGGAACGACGCCACCGACATCCGCTCCCGGTCCGAGTTCACCACCGCGCGGTGCCACACACTCCGGTACTGCCCGTTGCTCAGCGCCTGCATCATCAGAATTCAGAACCACCGGTGTTTCAGTCAGTGATGAGCATGTTTTGATTTGCTTCACTGTCACAGTCGCGCTGAACGGCCGTCAACCTACTACCAGTCTCCCACGATGACATGGGACGACAGAGCGAATAATCATCATGAGTCACCTGCAGCTGGTCGCCGATGTTGATGATGAGCGCGCCGGGCTGCGGGTTGACGGCGACCCACTTGCCGCCGTGGAGCACCTGCAGGCCGGCGACGTCCTGGTCCATGAGCAGGATGGTAAGCGCGTTGGGATCGGTGTGCGCCGGGAGGCCGTAGGTGAGCTCGGGCTCCGGGCACGGCGGGTAGAAGTTGACTGCCATGTGCTGCTCCTGCTGGCCCAGCGTCTCCTTCATGTAGCTCGCCTCTAGACCCAGGCTCTCCGAGATCGCAGCGTATAGCCTGAACCCGAGCTCCCGGACTTCCTTGCAGTACGTGCTCATGGTGTCCCTGATGATATGATCAGACGTGCGTGACAGTGTCAGATTCAGAAATAACTGCATTCTCACCGACTGATACCGTTTACACGTCTAGGAATGAACAGCACACATTACGCGTGTAGGAATCGAGCTACGGAACAGACACACTACGACATGTCTGGATTCCTAGTCAACTTGTAACTTTCAAAGTGCTTCTACACGTGGCTACTTTCCTTGTGAGTTGTGACACTCTTTCATTATTCTCCCGTGGCGCTAGCTGTCCACACTCCACATGTGGCTGCAGCGCTGTTAGACTAGTTTACCTGCTTGCCTGCTAGTTAGTGCTAGCTCACGATGGAAACACAGCAATGAGTGGACAAATAGCTTTGGCGTGGCAATGTCCCTTGCCGTATATCCTTGAAACGAAAGTGCCGGAGCTCTCTGCCCTTCTCTCGACCTTGAGTGACGCTGCGTGCAGCGATGCAGGGCTGTGAACAAGCCGATCGAGAGCTCCAGCAAGCGTGTCGCCTGAAGCTTGAGCTTGCCAGAGGCTGACCAAAGCTCGATCTGAAGGGTCAAGCTAGGTTCGTTTGTAATTCGACCTAGTCAAGCATAAAGTGACCCAAACGAGAGTAATTAGCGAGCCATGATCTTTTTTATCATTCTAGATTTAGCTAGTCAGAGTCTATTTTAGTCTCCAATCTGAGATTGATCGCTTTATAAGGTCTTGAATGACATTGATCGCTTTATAAATGAGAAGATAATAGTTCCAGATAAGGTCATATTGTTAGTCACGCTGTCACAAAATCAGAGATGACGATGTCCTAATTGACATTTTGGTCGGCCTCTGTTGTTTAAATGATTTAGAGTGAAATCTATTTTGCCACCTCAACTTGTCATGAAGTATGAACCCCCTAAACTCGAAAACCATTAATTGTACACCCTCAAATTGAAAACCACTACAAGGTGAGGGCATTGGGGATGTACTGCTGAGAGGGGGTGAGTGGTGGGTTCAGTATCAGTGATAGATGGCCTGTTCGCTTGAGCTTATCAGCCGGCTTATCAGCTAAAATCTACAGTATTTTTCTCTCACAACAAAACAGTTTCAGCCGGCTTTAATACCAGCTGAACAGATCCAGAGAAAGAGAGAGAGAGAGGGGGGGGTCCAAGGACGAATAGAGAGAAAGAGGAAGGATTCTCACATGTGGGATCTCCATGCATGCCATACTAGCAAAACTATCTTATAGACCACTTTGAGCTGCCAAATCGGGTAATTTGTTTGATTTTAAGATTTGGATGCATGATGTATGGTTTAAATTTTAGCAAAATTATCTTAGAGTTGTGGTTGGTAATAATGCACGGGCTTACTTGAGCTCTAGCTTGCTAGGTTCGTGATATTTGGCTTAAGCTTGAGCTTGGCTTGTTTATAATCCAAACCAATCTTGAAACAAGTATTAGAGGAGTCGAACACACGTAATCTCTCTGTTCTAAATTATAAGTCGTTCTGATTTTTCTAAATACATAATTTTTGTCACCTAGATATATATTATGTTTAGATATATATTAACAGTTACGTGTCTAGATAAGCCAGAACGACTATAGTTTCGAACAGAGGGAGCAGCTCGTAAGCCTTGACATTTTTTTTTTAATTTGGCTTAACTAGATGCTTGCCGTATTCTCGGCCTTACCCAACTGAAACTGAACACTGCATGCTGAACTGCTGATACATTTTGCATCGACGGTGGCATGAATCACGTTGTTTTGTTTTGATATATCCTTCTGTGTGATGCCTATCCTTGCTATAATGTGAAAGGAAAGGACCGGATGATATCTATCTGATAGATTTTATGATCATTTCGTTGTCTATTTGCACTTTCAAGCGTCAGCTCAAATACTACTATCTAGTTAAGCAGAAAGAGTATCACACCAGACATGACATCAATAATACTTTAACTATATCTTTTGTTTATGGTTATCTGCGCAATATTTACAGATGAACAACGTTAAACACTGAATGGCGGTAAAGCCGAGGGTACTAATACTATTTGTAAACGGTGGTGTACTACTTTATGGTGTGATGTTGCCCAAAAACAGTGCACTGTTATAACATCCCCGTCTAAACGGGTCGAATTCCGATTGGGCCGATGCACTGTAACTGCACGCGTGGGCTATGGTCCGAGCTGTAGTTGCGGGCACGGTAGCGCGGAGGTGGGCCGGGCCAAAATCGGGGCTACTGTTGAGGCGCAGCACGGTTGATCAGTCACTGTTCACGTGAGTTACTGTAACATCACGAATCACTGTACAACCAGACTTTAGTGAATCCTAAGAGGGATTGACCGACTTAAATAGCCAGGTCAAGGACGCGTAATAACCTTCGGTTAACCGTTTTGTGCGAAGCGAGGACGAAAGCGCAAGCGGGTTGCTACGTTGGTGGGGCCCACCCCTCGCTAGAGTGGGCCTGTGCCGTGTATCGGGTCTGGGGTGTTACAAATGGTATCAGAGCCAACTCTCGCGGTTTCACGGACATATGGCTCGGGAGCTCGAACAAGTTGCGCATCATGGCACTTGGCCCGGGGAGCTGGGAATATGGACGTGGGCCAAGAGAGTCGATCCTGAGCATTTATCCCAAATAGGGTAAGTCAGTCTGGCATTGGGGGTGATTGTAACATCCCGTCTAAATGGGCCGAATTCCGGTTGGGTCGAGGCACTGTAACTGTGCGTATGGGCTGTGGGCGAGCTGTAGCTATGGGGGTACTGTAGCCCAAGGTGGGCCGGGCCAAAATCAGATTACTGTTGCGGCACAGCACTGTTGTCTCAGTCACTGTACAAGCCAGACTTTAGTCCCAAACTATAAATCCGAGGACGGCCAGACCAACTTAAATAGCCAGGCTAACGACACGTAGTAACCTTTGGTTAATCTGTTTTCGCGAAGCGAGGACGAAAACGCAAGCAGGTTACCTACGTAGGTGGAGCCCACCCCTCGATAGAGTGGGCCTGTGCGGGTCTAGGGTGTTACCACTGTGAAGTTGCCCAAAGATGATGCAACTTTCTCTTTCTCCTATCTTATAAAAAACTTATAAAAATGTTCTTATTCTTGGAAGCAATGGTCCAAAGTGCTAGTGGCTGTTGATTCAGTATGAGACAATCAACGGAGCTCTCCGCAGGAGCTGAAAACCTACTATAAAATATATATAAACTATATACCGAGACAGACCATGGGTATATAAGTTTCAAATATTATTTCCTTTCCATTCTTCAAAAAAGGTGCTGTTTCTTTACCTTTAATGAAAAAAAAGTAGTGAGCTTATGCCACTACAAATGGCTACCCACTCGTCAGCTTCAGATGGTTTTCTTTCCTGAAATTGAGTGTTTTCTTTATTCCAGCTACTGCACATTCAGCTTGTTCGGTTGGCTGGTTCATATCATTGCTGGTTCGTGAAGAAGTACTCTTGGTTGATTTGTGTGAAAGAAAAATACTGTTCTGACTAAAAATTTACGATCGTTTACGACAAGCCACGGCCAAACGAACAGACTGATTATTTGAAATGTACCTATCTACCTGAACTAATTTCCCCCGATATTTTGCACTAGCAAACCTCTGCTTGCTGTTTTTAATTAACTAGGAAGTAGGAGTAACCTCAAAAAAAAACCTAGGAAGTAGGAGTACTAACAATAATAATTGAATAAAGCTAGTGTGGTTAGTTGAGGAAGCAGAATAATTAATTAACATACTTGAAATCGGGCGGGTTGGACGGCCAATCGGGCACGAACTCGTGGAGGGGATGGCAGTGCAGCCGGAGGTAGTCGCGCCAGTTGTGCACCGTCTCCTTGCGCACGTTGAAGCTCGTGGACAGCCGTATCTTCCTGGTCGGGTCGTCGGAGTACAGCTTGGCCTTCTCCTCCGGCGGCAACCGGAAGAAGTCGCGCCCCACGGCCATCACCGACGCAATCAAGTCGGCATGTATCCCATGGTTGAGGACCTGGAAGAAGCCGTGCGAGCGGCAGGCGTCGCCGATGGCGGCGACAACCGCGGCGCGGTCGGGGCTCCCTAGGTCGACGACAGGGATGCGCGCGCCGGTGACGACCTCGGCGAGGCGAGGGCGCTGCGGCTCCGGCCGGATGTAGTTCCCCGGCAGGGTGTCGTGCACGGCCGTCGAGAGGAGGTGCTCCGCCATGCGTGGTCACCGCCGCCGCGCGCCTATGGAAGTCGTCGGTCTTGCGTGCGCGCGCGCAGCCAGGAGGAACCGTAACCGTGTCCAGGATGGCTCTCCGGGAGGCGGTCGTCACGCGCTCTTTATAGCGGTCGAACGCGGAGGGCCCGTGGCGTCAGCGTCAGCGTCAGCTAGCCGCGCCCGACGACGACCGAGAAGAGACTGATATGTGATCTCCCTCGCGTCATCGCCGTGGCAGCAAGTGACGTCACCCCCTCCGCATCACGCCGTAACCGTAACCAACTAAGCATGGCGGGCGAGTGGTCCTCGGTGGCGAGCTAAGCAGCCTCTGTGCCTCTTATTCGTTCCTGCTCCATCCTTTTTTTAGCATGGCCTTGTTTAGATTCTGGTTAAAAATTAATATTTGGCATTGTAACACTTTCGAGATTAGTGACCCAGCACCAGGTTTAAAAGATTCGTCTCGTAATTTACAATTAAACTGTGTAATTAGTTATTTTTTTATCTATATTTAATACTCCATGTATGTGTCTAAAGATTTGATGTGATGGAGAGAGAGTGAAAAAACTTTTATGCATCTGCCGAGATTAGTGACCCAGCGCCAGCACCAATGCACCAGCATGTGGACGGTGGTTAAGCTCCTGCGGCGGATCGCAGGATCCAAGAGGCAGATGACAGAGTGCCGGAGCAGATTCCCCGTCGTGCGAAGATGTCTGGTCGTCACACGACCAATCGGTGCAGTTGGCTTACACCACCAAGTGTTGTGTAAAATCAGATCCACATCCACGCGCGCTGCCGTGTCGAGGGCGTACGTACTGTGTGTATACAGGAGAAGCTTTCTTGTAGCACATCTGCATCGTCAGCCCAGAACCATTGTATGCGGATGCGGTGGTCCACGGCGAATGTGGATCGGCATTGGCGCATTTTCCGTGTTCGCCACCATTGTAGGATTAGTGGCTGAGTGTTGCTCCAAATTTTTTCGTCCCTCCATAGTATCTAGCTTCGTATGTTTCATGCGTTTTAGATGTATGTTTTATCTGGATGTTGCATGTCTTTCATCTAAATGTCGTATATGTTGCAATGGCTATATATATGTTGCAAGTATATGTTTCAAATATTTCAGCTATTTTAAACGTACGTCGTAAATGTTTTATCTAGATGTTGTGTATGTTGCAATGACTATACACGTATGTTGCAAGTGTATGTTTTAAATGTTTCAGCTGTTTCAAACATATGTTGCAAGTGTTTTATTTAGGTGTTGCATACGTTGCACTGATTATACACGTATGTTGGAAGTGTTTTAACTGGATGTTGCATATGTTGTAGTGGTCATACACATATTGTAGTGGTCATACACATATTGTCGGGGACCAATACTAGGGTACCTAAAGAGGAGAAGCTAATAACCATAATCATTGATTCAGCCGAGCAATCAAGAGCGCGACTACAGCTTCAACCGACCTCCAGGTGCGCAAGCTCCGTCTCGCCCGGCCTCTGAGCGCGGGCTCCACTTCACCCGACCTCTAGGGGCGGGCTCTGCCTCGCCCGACCTCTGGGGAAGGGCTCGCCTCGCCTGACCTCTGAGGGATGGCTCCGCCTCGCCCGACCTCTGGGGGCATGCTCCGCCTCGCTCGACACCGAGGCCGCGGGCTCCGCCTCGTCCGACCTCTGAGGGCTGGCTCCGCCTCGCCCGGCCTCTAAGGGCGGGCTCCACCTCGCCCGACCTCTGGGGGAGGGCTCGTCTCGCTCGACAACGAGACCACGGGCTCCACCTCGCCCGACCTCTGAGGGATGGCTCTGCCTCGCCCGATCTCTGGGGGCAGGCTCCGCCTCGCCCGACACCGAGGCTGTGGGCACCGCCTTGTCCGACCTCTGAGGGCTGGCTCTGCCTTGCCCGACCTCTGGGGGCAGGCTCCGCCTCGCCTGACACCGAGGTCACGGGCTCTGCCTTGCCTGACCTCTGAGGGCTGGCTCCACCTCGCCCGGCCTCTAAAGGTGGGCTCCACCTCGCCCGACCTCTGGGGGTGGGCTCCGCCTCGCCCGACACCGAGGCCGTGGGCTCGCCTGACCGTTGGGTTTGCGCTCTGCCTCGCCCAACCTCTGAGGGCGAGATCTACCTCTCCCGACCTCTAGGGGCTGGCTCCGCCTCGCCCGACCCTTGGGTTTGCGCTTCGCCTCGCCCGACCTCTGAGGGCTGGCTCCGCCTTGCCCGACCTCTAGGGGCATGCTCCACCTCGCCCGACCCTTGGGTTTGCGCTCCGCCTCGCCCGACCTCTGGGGGGGGACTCCACCTCGACCAACCCTGAGGCCGGGGGATCCGTCTCGCCCGACAGAGACCCATACCGCCGCCAACCACTCCAGGTCCAAGCGAATGGGCCTAGGTCAAAGCTCTAACACCAGGGAGGTGATCGGCACGCCTCAATATAACCCGTGGCTGTGACGGGCCATACCTGGGGATTCACATCAGGAACAGCATCGGGCGTACCGGTGCTGTTCTACCTAACCCTCGTATGGGCACTGACAGGCGCGTCAGTTCACCATGACGTTCGCTAGGACAGAGTGGAGTGCCATGACTAGGAGACGACGCCTACGCATGGCGCTAGTGACGGATAGGGTCGCGACGTGGAGCTATCCCTATTGACGTCTATAGGGATGGCGGGACCCTTGTGAAGGAAAAGAAGGACCCGGCGATCCTGGAGGACTTCTTTCCTTCTCATTCTCCTCTTTTCCCTCGACTGTAACCCATGCTTTTCCTTGGCCTATAAAAGGGAAAGCAGGGCGTCCCATAAGGGGCATCGCAATACATCACATCAAAGGGACTCGAACCCATCAAACCCTGAACCGATAAAAACACACAAGCACATAGCCGGGAAGTGACCGAGCTCTCGGCACCCGTTCTGTCCTCTCTCCAGACACTTGGGACCTATCCCTCTCTTGACCATTTGTAACCCCTACTATGAACTTTTAGTGCTCGTAACACAAGCAGTAACAATGAACTGAACGTAGAGACATTCTTCCCGAACCAGTATAAACCTCATGTCCTTTTAGCACACCATCCGAGCCAGACGCGCAATATTAGAAATTTACTTGTTGGTGGTAACTCAAAACACTAACAGTTGGCGTGCTAGGTAGGGGCCTTTTGCATGTCTCGACATCCACCCTAGGCCTTGGATGGCTAGTCACAACCTTAGCTGGGTCCCGGGCATGCACATGCGCTTTAGAGACCTGGACTTCATCATCACGACGGAGGGAGAGTTGGCGATGGCTCCCGCCGCCATCCGACCACTCCACTCCACCGGCCTTGATGCAATCGCCGAGGCGCTTAAGGAGCTGCAACTGTACACACCGGAGGCCCATGACCCCGAAAGCAACCAGCTCCTCGACTTCGACTATGGGAGGTTAGAGCGCCAGCTCGGCACCTTCCTAGGACCCCAGCCGTCCCAAGAGGACCTGCGCCACCTCACCTTCTCGTTCGCCAACGTCATGGCACGGCTTGCTAGAGGGGAGCCGCTCTCTCTAGAATACCTCATCTAGAGCACCCTGATAGCACTCTCGTTCGGTATCCACAACACCGCAGAGAATGATGGCCACCCTGTGGCGCAACGCACGCCTCCATCCCCCACGAATGACGAGTTCGTGGGGATGACTGAATATGTCATGGAGTCTTTCCACGACCTCCTCGTAGGAAAATCTAAGTCGCCCTCTAGCTCTGACTCCAGTAGGGGGAGCCATCACCCCTCTCATGAGTGTTTCATGGTAGGTACCCCCGAGGGACATGTCAAAAGCATCCACGAGGAAGAGGATACCCCAATGAATGACCTCGACGATGAGGTCGAGAGGGATGCAGGGACCCTGCCTCGCCTACGGGTGGAGCAACTGATGGCCCAACACCAAGAGCTCGAGGAAGCACGACTCCAGCTCGAGCAGGACACGGTGGGCACGCGCGCCATGGCCCGCAACATTAACCGAAGGATTATCGAGGATGATGAAGCCCTCCCACACTTTGCCCGGGCAAGCCAGAACATCGCTGCTGCGGCAGCCTTGCTATGTGGGCTTTCGGGGCCCATCGCGAGATTCGTCCGCTACTCGAGCGTCCGGTGGCGTAGCAAGCCGAAAGCTCGTTGTCTCAACGATGCGAGCGTCCGACGCGTAGCCAGCTAGCGTATGCCCTCGGAGCGACTCGACAAGGATGGATTAGTCCACCAGGTGCCGCAAGGCAGCAGGCTACGCACCGTAGTCCCGGTGCATGAGCGTCTTGGCCGCAACCGTGAGGCGCGCGACACCCTCGACGCTCGTAGGCGTACCCATGGTGATGCGGGGGAGGGAGCTAGCCGTGGCTACCACCCTTGTCTTGGCGGATGCTACGATAGCGGCGAGGACTGAAGCCCGAGCCCTGGCCTACCGGGACCTCAGGCCTTCAGCCGACACATCCTGAACGCCACCTTCCTACCATGGTACCAACCACCAACCAACATCCCGAAATACTTTAGGGAAACGAACCCCGGACTATGGCTCAAGGATTATTGGCTTGCTTGCCAAGCTGGTGGAGCGGATAATGATGACTTCATTATCCGCAACCTTCCATTGTTCTTGGCCAATTCGGCACGAACATGGTTGGAACACCTTCCGCCCAACATAATCCAAGGTTGGACGGACCTAAAAGAGATCTTCGTGGGGAATTTCCAAGGCACGTACAAGCACCCTAGGAACCCATGGGATCTCAAAAACTACCGATAGAAGGCCAGAGAAACCCTCCGTGGGTACATCCGGCGCTTCGTCCGGCAGTGCAATGAGCTGCCTAACGTCGCCGATGCTGACATTATAGGAGCTTTCCTATCTAGGACCACCTACGAGTCCCTAGTTCACAAGCTAGGATGTAAGGGCCCATGAACCACCAAGGAGCTTCTCGACATCGCCACCAGCCATGCCTTGGGTGAGGAGGCAGTCAGAGCGATCTTCGACCGCCTCAAAGGAAAGGCGAAGCGGGACAAGGACGCTGATAAAGG